TTATTGTCCCTGGATGGACAGAGACAGATTATTGTCCCTGGATGGACTGAGTCAGGTTCCCTGGATGGACTGAGACAGATTATTGTTCCTGCATGGACTAAATCAGAATATTGTCCCTGGATGGACTGAGTCAAATTATTGTCTGTGGATGGACTGGGGCAGAATATTGTCTGTAAATGGACTTGGTCAGATTGTTGTCCCTGGATGGAATGAGACAGATTTTTGTCCCTGGATGGACAGAGACAGATTATTGTCCCTGGATGGACTGAGACAGATTGTAGTCCTGGATGGACCAAGTCAGAATATTGTCCCTGTATGGACTGGGTCAGATTGTTGTCACTGGATGGACTGAGACAGATTATTACCCCTGGATGGACTGAATCTGGTTATTGTCCCTGGATGGACAGAGACAGTTTATTGTCCCTGGATGGACTGAGACAGATTATTGTCGCTGGATGGACTGAGTCAGATTATTGTCCCTGGATGGACTAAGTCAGAATCTTGTCCCTGAATGAAATAAGACAGATTACTGTCCCTGGATTGACTGAGACAGATTATTGTCCCTCGATGGACTGAGGCAGATAATTGTTCCTGGATGGACTAAGTCAGAATATTGTCCCTGGATGGACTGAGTCAGATTATTGTCCGTGGATGGACTGGGGCAGAATATTGTCTGTACATGGACTTGGTCAGATTGTTGTCCCTGGATGGAATGAGACAGATTGTTGTCCCTGGATGGACAGAGACAGATTATTGTCCCTGAATGGACTGGGTCAGATGATTGTCCCTGGATGGGCTTGGTCAGATTATTGTCCCTAGATGCACTAAGTCAGAATATTGTCCCTGAATGGACTGAGACGGATTATTATCCCTGGATGGACTGAGTCAGGTTCCCTGGATGGACTGAGACAGGTTATTGTCCCTGGTTGGACTGAGGCAGATTATTGTCCCTGGATGGACTGGGGCAGATTATTGCCTGTAGATGGACTTAGTCAGATTGTTGTCCCTGGATGGACTGGGGCAGATTATTGTCTGTAGATGGACTTGGTCAGATTGTTGTCCCTGGATGGACTGAGACAGATTGTTTTCCCTGGATGGAAAGAGACAGATTATTGTCCCTGAATGGGCTGGGTCAGGTCATTGTCCCTGGATGGGCTCGGTCAGATTATTGTCCCTAGATGGACTAAGTCAGAATATGGTCCCTGAATGGACTGAGACAGATTGTTGTCCCTGGATTGACTGAGACAGATTATTGTCCCTGAATGGGCTGGGTCAGGTCATTGTCCCTGGATGGGCTCGGTCAGATTATTGTCCCTAGATGGACTAAGTCAGAATATTGTCCCTGAATGGACTGAGACAGATTGATGTCCATGGATGGACTGAGACAGATTATTATCCCTGGATGGACTGAGTCAGGTTCCCTGGATGGACTGAGACAGATTATTGTCCCTGGATGGACTGAGTCAGGTTCCCTGGATGGACTGAGACAGATTGTTGTCCCAGGATGGACTAAGTCAGATTATTGTCCCTGGATGGACTAAGAGAGATTGTTGTCCTCGAATGAACTGAGTCAGATTATTGTCCCTGGATGGACTAAATCAGATTATTGTCCCTGGATGGACTAAGACAGATTGTTGTCCCTGAATGAACTGAGTCAGATTATATTACCTGGATGGACTAAGTTATAATATTGTCCCTGGATGGACTAAATCAGAATCATGTCCCTGGATGGACTGAGACAGATTGTTGTCCCTGGATGGACTAAATCAGATTATAGTCCCTGGATGGACAGAGACAGATTATTGTCCCTGGATGGACTGAGTCAGATTATAGTCCCTGGATGGACTAAGTCAGATTATTGTCCCTGGATGGACTAAATCAGATTATTGTCCCTGGATGGACTGAGACAAATTGTTGTTCTTGGATGGACAAGGCAGATTATTGCCCCTGGATGGACTAAGTCAGATTATTGTCCTCGGATGGACTGAGATAGATTATTGTCCCTGGATGGACTAAATCAGAATCTGGTCCCTGCATGGAATAAGACAGATTATTGTCCCTGGATGGACTGAGTCAGAATATTGTCCCTGGATGGACTGAGTCTGGTTATTGTCACTGGATGGACTGAGAAGGATTATTGTCCCTGGATGGACTGAGACAGATTATTGTCCCTGGATGGACTGAGTCAGGTTGCCTGGATGGACTGAGACCGATTATTGTCCCTGGATGAACTAAGTCAGATTATTTTCCCTGGATTGACTAAGTCAGAATATTGTCCCTGGATGGACTATATCAGATTATTGTCCCTGGATGGAAAGAGACAGATTATTGTCCCTGGATGGACTGAGTCAGATTATTGTCCCTGGATGGACTAAGTCAGATTATATTCCCTGGATGGACTAAGTCAGGTTATTGTCCCTGGATGGACTAAGTAGATTATTGTCCCTGGATGGACTAAGTTAGATTCTTGTCCCTGGATGGACTGAGACAGATTGTTGTCCCTGGATGGACTAAGTCAGATTATTTCCCGGATGGACTAAGTCAGATTATTGTCCCTGGATGGACTAAATCAGAATCTTGTCCCTGCATGGAATAAAACAGATTATTGTCCCTGGATGGACTGAGTCAGAATATTGTCCCTGGATGGATTGAGTCAGAATCTTGTCCCTGCATGGAATAAGACAGATTATTGTCCCTGGATGGACTGAGTCAAAATATTGTCCCTGGACAGAGTGAGTCAGATTACTGTCCCTGGATGGACTGAGACAGATTATTGTCCCTGGATGGACTGAGACAGATTATTGTCCCTGGATGGACTGAGACAGATTATTGTC